CTTTTTTTACTTTGTCCATTTGTACTCCTAAAACACTAATAAAGGCTTAAACCATAAAACTTAATTCCTCCCATCTTGGACTATTAGTTACTAGCATATGCTTGGAGTTGATCTCATTATGGACCTCTTTTGAAGTAATATTTGACTTATGGACCTAGAAATTATGACTTCCTTTGCTTGGAGTATTGATTGAAGACTTGTCTTTGATGACCAATTTTCTCAAGGATGTAGTATTTTTAATATTGTTTTGAAGTGGCTCTATTGTGGTTAAATCATTCTATTCCCTAACTTTTACTTTATGCTTTAAGACAGTCACTTCTTCTCCTCCCCATTCTTAAATTTTCAAAATCTTCTCTATTTTTCAAAACTTTCTTGTTTTAAAACTTTCACTACTTTCATAAACAAACATTAACTTTGGTCAAGTGATTTTTCTTTAAACTTTTGTTTTCTTTAATAAAATGTCAGTTTACCTTAATCATACTTTGACTATTTTAAAAATATAAAAATATAAAACTCATCAAACTTCTTTTTGTACTTTGTGCACTTTTTCTTTTAAAACTTTTCATAAGTTTAGACATGATTCATTTCTTTCAGCAGGATTATTCACTTGAAAATGACGACTTGTCTTGCATTTAAAATCAACCAAAATAAACAATTTTTTGTTCTTTGTACCACGAACTACGGGGTTTTGATCATACATTGCACATCGTGGATACGTAGGCATGAGGCGATAAGTCTCTTCAAACGCAAAAACATACAAAATATTTCTCCTCTCATCTCCTTATTCTCTTTCACAAGCAAACCTTTTTTAGACCAAAAAGCATGAATACATCAAAAGGCTCCTATAGAGTACTATAGATGTATTGGATGCGTAAAACATTCCCTTTACAAAACCAACCCCCTTACCCTTTTATCTCTTTAGGTTTTATTCGCTCTTTTTTCCTTTCCTTTTTTTGGATAAAAATAAAAGTGCGGTGACGACTCTTTCTTATTTTGTATGATTATTTAATACAACTGAGTTCATATTAATATTTTTTTTTTTACTAAAATATACATTTTCAACGGATCAAAATTACTTAATTTGTCTATATTTTTTAAAATTCACTATATTATATTAATTTACTATTTTAACAATTAAAAATAACGACATTGCGTGACTCGTGTGAACTCACGGGTCTCTTATTATTACATTCCAACATTTTATATATATTTATTAACAATCATTATATTATATTTATTAATTATATTTCAAATATCAAAAAAACAATTTCACGGGTCACTATCATCAAAATATCTATTTTATTATAATTACTAATTGTCTCTATTTGAGACACAAAATTATTATTTTCAAATGTTAAAATTTTTTATTTTTTCTTTCTTCATTTCACAAACTCGTTTTTTATTTTGTATTTACAATTGAGTCTTTTGTAATTTATTTAGGGTCTTACTTTGCTCTTCTCTTTTGATTAGTCTTTTGTATCGGGTTGAAGAATCCATATTTCTCCATTTTAATACAATTGCTTATAAAAAAGCAATCGAGTTCATAATAATATTTATTTTTCTACTAAAATATATATTTTTGACGGATCAAAATTACTTAATTTATATATATTTCTTAAAATTTACTATATTATATTAAATTAATATTCTAACAATTAAAAAGAAAATGATATTGCGTGACTCGTGCGAACAACAACCATGCAAACACACAGGTCTATATTACATTAATATAATTGTCACGTCTTAATTTATATTCCTTTTCATTTTGTTTAACTTTTTTTTTTTTTTTTCAATACTTTTTCAATAGTTTGTTTTCTTTACTAATCCATTATTTTAATTATTTTTCATAAACATAATTTTTTTCCTATATATTTATTATTACTATTACATTTTTTATTATTTTTTATTAAATATTATTTATGCAAAATTCTCAAATTTTACTCTAATATATATCTTCCAAAAAAATTATTTTACTTATTATAGTAATAAATTTTTTATTTCACATTTATTTAAACTATTTTAACAAACCTATTTTTATTTTCATTTAGAATTTTGAATCTATTACTTATAAATTTTCACAGCTTTGTAATGGAAATGCTATGTTGCAATTGTAATATTTTGTCTTCATATATCTATATTTATTTTAATACTATATTATAAATATTTAAATTTATCAAATATATTGATTTTATTAGATATTTTTTATTTTTATAAAAAGTTATTTTTATGATAAATACACGTCATGACGGATACCATCGATATCATATTATTTATATATCAAAAAACAAGCACGAATCTTCTATTCGATATCATATTATTTATTTTTCAAAATGTGGCATATTGGTAAAAAAATCCCTTTTGGGTATGCTTTTACCACCTTAACCTCTGTGTTACTTCACCTTTTTGGGAATATAACCCACTGTGATATTTAGGGTTCAATTCTCCCGAGAAAACAAAACTGAAAATCAAACAGAGTCCCTCAAAAGTCTCCAAATTTCAATCTTCAATTTCATTCTCTCAATCCAAGGTTCTTTCTCTCTCGATTTTGCATCTTATGGCTTTGTTAACATGATTTCCAGTTTTGCATCTTATATGTTTTTTAATTATGGTTTGATTTAATTCAAATTTCAGATAACCTCCCCTTTTGATTTTGATTTTGATTTCGATTTTAAATCAAACATTTAAGTGAGATGTTGTTTTTTATTATTAGACTTTTTAATTAAAAAGTCAGATGTTGTTTTCAGGATCCAAAGTTACGGCAATGGTAGCAATGTCATCTCTTCTTGTCAATGGAATTCCCCAATTTCTTCCACAACCCACATCACAAGTTGTGAAAGGCTCTTCCGTTCAGGTAAAACTTAATCCCAATTCTACCAAATTAAGAGCTTCAGCTTTCAAGGTTAGGGCAAACAGTTATGAAGATGATCAAGTTGACAACTTCCTGAGAAGGGATTATAAGTGGGGATTTAATCAAGAAATTGACTCATTTTCGTTACCCAATGGCTTATCCGAGCAAACTGTTAGGTTAATATCTGCAAGAAAAAATGAGCCTGATTGGATGCTTGACTTTAGACTTAAAGCATATCACAAGTTTTTGAAGATGAAAGACCCAAACTGGTCTGACAATAAATACCCAAAAATTAATTTTCAAGATCTCTGTTATTACTCCGAGCCTAAGAAGAAGCCAACTTCGAATAGTGTTGATGAGCCTGCACCTAAGCTACTCGCCTACTTTGATAGGCTTGGTGTTCCTCTCTTAGAAAACAAAAGCGCTAATGTAGCGGTAGATATTGTTTGTGATAGTGTTTCGATTGCAACGACTCATAAGAAGACTTTGGAGGAAAAATCTGGCGTCATATTCTGTGCTATATCCGAAGCTGTAAGGGAGTATCCAGATTTGGTTAAGAAATATTTAGGAAAGGTTGTCCCTTATGATGATAACTTTTATGCAGCCTTGAATTCTGCTGTGCATGGTGATGGGACGTTTGTATATATTCCCAAGAATGTCAAGTGTCCAATGCAAATATCAACATATTTTAGGATTAATGCAAAAGAGTTAGGTCAGTTTGAGAGGACATTGATTGTCGCAGAAGAGGGTAGTTTTGTGGAGTACTTGGAAGGGTGTACTGCACCCATTTACGATACTAATCAGTTACACGCAGCAGTAGTTGAATTATATTGTCATGAAGGAGCAGAGATTAAATATCTGACAAAGCAGGATTGGTATGCTGGTGACGAGCATGGGAAAGGTGGGATATATAACTTTGTCACCAAGAGGGGACTTTGTGCTGGGGTCAGATCAAAGATATCTTGGACACAGGTGGAAATAGGATCAGCAATTACATGGAAGTATCCAAGTGTTGTTCTAGAGGGTGATGAATCGGTAGGGGAGTTTCATTCAGTAGCACTGACTAATAACTATCAGCAGGCAGATACAGGGACAAAGATGTTACATAAGGGAAAGAATACTAGGAGTAGAATCATATCTAAAGGTATTTCTGCTGGGCATTCCAGAAATTGTTATAGAGGACTTGTGCAGGTAATGTCAGGTGCAGACGGAGCTAAAAGCTCCTCACAGTGTGATTCCATGCTTGTAGGAGATACTGCAGCTGCAAATACCTACCCATACATTCAGGTAGTTACTTTTTGAAAATGTTCTATTGATTTTTTAAAGTTTGTTTACATCCTCTTGATGTTAATGTCTATGCCTCGGTTCATGGGTTTCCACTTAAGGTTTTTGCTAGGTTATTCTTGTTTTATATATTACATTTAATGAGGTGTTGCCAAGTTGATTTCTTACTTGGCTTTGCAAATTGACCGTATATATTTTTGTTTGTGTTGTATAATATTTTATGAAATTGCATTATTGAATAATGCTTGAAATTTGATGCCTTGTTTGTGTTTATTCTTCACAGTCTAAGAATCCTTCTGCTCAGATTGAACATGAAGCTACAACATCAAAAATCGGTGAAGATCAGTTGTTTTACTTTCAACAGAGAGGAATTGACTGTGAGAATGCCATGTCGGCTATGATAGTAGGATTCTGTAGAGATGTAATCGATGATCTTCCATATGAATTTGCTTCTGAAACAAAACAGTTGTTGAGCTTGAAACTAAAAGGATCTGTTGGTTAGGTTCCATAGCCGCTGGATGCTTTTGCTGCTGCTGATGTTACAGACTGTGTACTTGATGATGTATATGAAAACCATAATTTAGTTATTTAGTTTTTTTTTTTTTGAATTCTTATCTACCCACTTCAAAAAGTTGGGTAGAATTACCTATAGAATAAATTAGGCTAAATTGCATCAGGGGATTGGTTAAAGGTAAACTATCCAATTTTTTGTGATAGATAACAAAGTTATTTTTTTTTTCTTTCTTGAACTATGTAACAGTATTTCGCACCAACGGTGTTCTGCCTTCATATTCTTTGTTGTTGGATTAGAGTTTTCAGCAGTTGCAAGTCTCATTATAAGCTGCATTGCTTGCTTTTAAAGCAATCCATGGATCAAGGTGATTACATCGACTACCTAAAGAGCTTGGAGCCACGAGGAGTGCCACAGCACAAACTGGCACTAAAAATAAATACTCCTGTTATCCTGCTGCGGAATATAAACCCAGTGGAGGGTATATGCAACAGTACGTGGCTTATTTGTAAGCAACTTACACCAAATCTTGTAGGTGCAATAATTGCTACAGGTCAGTTCAAAGGAAAGTATGTATGGATTCCTAGAATTCCATTAGAACCAAATCAATCGGATAATAAGTATTTGATACCCTTTATAAGGCGTCAAATTCCCCTGAAATTATGTTTTTCTATGACTATAAACAAATTACAAGGTATTCCGTTGGAATCTATTACTCATGGACAACTCTATGTAGCGTTGTTTAGAGCAAAAACTGGACATTTAACGATCCAGGGACCAAATATACAGCAAATGTTGTATAAAATGAAGTTCTTGAAAAAGTCATCCTCACATAATCCCTTGATATCTATACTTTTGCATGACATATATCTATATCTTTGCATTCCATCTTTTGTTGCTTTTGTCATTGGAATATGACTAGGAAGTCAGACATTCTTGATTACTCACTCTATCATAATATGCCATCTAAACATGCTCATGTTGTCAATATATAATGAACAAACATGTTTTCATTGTTCGGATAATCAAATATTTTGATATTAAGATGCTTTTGCTGTCAATCTATAATTGACAAATATATTTCAATTGGTCTTCGAAATCCAATGTTTTCATAATGACAAATTGATTGTAAACGCTGCGTACATTCAAGCATCTAAATGATAAACTTCAAGCCCTTTATTTTTATTATGACTGTATGAGTATATCTCGATTCATTCTTTTACTGCAAGCACGTTTTTCAGAACTGAAACTTTGCTATCACTTTTGTCACCTATTAGCTGCAGTAGATTTCTTGCAATACATAATTGCATACAGTCAGTACTGTGGTTGATTTAATGCACAAATCTCAACTTCTACACCAGGCTTGTTACTCGCAGAAAATTACACAAAATGAAAAACTAATACATTCTTTGTTTACAATTGCAGGTGTGTCATATAAGAGTTTCCAGCTTACAATCGATCACATTTACATAAATGCAGAAGCACTGACTCCCAGTACCTAATTCATGTCTATGCTTATATAATTTTTACATAAATGCAGAAACACCGACTCAAACAATAATTCATTTCAATACTTATCTGATAAATAGAAATTCTCAGAAAACAAACATGTATAATCCACTTATGCTTAAGAACACTAAAAAAACCTGATACATGCATATAGTTGTGTCACAACTTCTATAAAATAAGCATTCGTATACAATACTCTTCATACATGCACACAAAAAAAGAGTTCATTTCACACATGCAGATGATCTCTTCCGAACAAGCTTTTATTTTATACATGCAGAAAAAAATACAAAACATAGGCATTGTCCTCATGCATGTACAGATTTATGTGATGCATTTTTTAAAAAGAGAAACCCTCATATACATGTATATACTTATGTGATGATTTCTTGAAAAGTAGAAACTCTAACTGACAATATTCTCCATATATTCAAAAAAAGAACTAAGTTCTTTTAAAACATGCAGTTGACCTTTTGAGAACATGCATGTACTACTTATATGATGATTTCTTCAAAAGTAAAATCTTATATGAATCTCCTGCCATTAGAGAGAGATTTGATATTGTCCACTGAAGTTTTTTTTTTAATTCTTATAAAACTAAAAACCTACTTTTACCACACCCTTTTATTGGTGTTGGTGATTGGGCTTGCTTACTGTGCAATTAGGATATCCAAAGTGACTGGGCATGCTGAGTGTGCAATTAGTTGCCACCTTACATTTATTCTTGAAAATCAGGGTCCAGCTACTTTCCAAGCAACTATGAATGATATTTTTAGGCCATTTTTGAGGAAATTTGTCCTTGTTTTCTTCGATGATATTCTTATATACAGCAAGAATATTCAGGAGCATCAGAAGCATTTAAATCAGGTTCTTTCTGTTTTGCTTCAGAACTGTTTTATTGCTAATCAAGCTAAGTGTAAGTTTGGGTGTAAGAAGATTGATTACTTGGGACACATTATCTCAGGAGATGGAGTAGCAGTAGATCCTGAAAAGGTAAAGTGCATTTTGGAATGGCCGGAGCCCAAAAATGTGAAGGGAGTTCGTGGTTTTTTGGGTCTCACCGGGTACTATAGAAAGTTCATTAAGGACTATGGTAAAGTGGCCAAACCCTTGACTGAATTAACCAAGAAGGACAACTTTGTTTGGGGATCAGAAGCAATTGCTGCTTTCAAATTGATGAAGGTAATCATGACCTCACCCCCTGTTTTGGTGTTGCCAAATTTCTCTCTTCCGTTTGAAGTTGAGTGTGATGCAGCGGGAAGAGGGATAGGAGCAGTGTTAATGCAGCAGAGGAAACCTGCAGCTTTTTTCAGTAAAGCTTTATCGCAGGGTAACTTAGTCAAATCTGTGTATGAAAAAGAGCTTATGGCGTTGGTCTTATGCATTCAGCATTGGAGACACTACTTGTTGGGTAAGCAATTCACTGTGCACACGGATCACAAGAGCCTTAAACACTTCCTGCAACAGAGAATAACGTCCCCTGACCAGCAATGTTGGTTGGCTAAGCTGCTTGGCTATTAGTTTGAGGTGAAGTACAAACCAGGGATGGAGAATAAAGCTGCTGATGCGCTATCTAGGTGTTATGATGATGCTGAATTGAGCACTCTAATTTCATACCCTCAGTGGACTGATAGCCAGAAACTTCTAGATGAAGTAAAAAATGATCCAGAAATTCAGAACACAATTCAAGTAGTGCTGACTGCTCCTGAGTCTAAACCGGGCTATTTTGTTAAGCAAGGTGTGTTGTTCTATCAGGGAAGACTGGTTCTTTCTCCTAAGTCCCCATCGATCCCTCTTCTGTTGGAGGAATTTCATTGTACTCCTACTGGTGGACACTCAGGTTTCTTGCGAACCTATAGGAAGCTGGCAGACAATCTATATTGGCTGGGTATGCAGAGGTCAGTAAGAGATTTTGTGCGCGCTTGTGATATTTGTCAAAGACAAAAGTATGCTGCCACTACTCCGGGAGGGTTACTGCAACCTCTTCCTATTCCTAATGGTATTTGGGAGGATCTCTCTTTAGATTTCATTACGGGTTTGCCTAAATCCAAGGGTTATGAAGCTGTACTTGTGGTGGTGGACAGGTTGTCCAAGTACAGTCACTTTATATTGCTCAAACACCCTTATACTGCTAAATCCATTGCTGAATTGTTTGTAAAGGAAATAGTGAGGCTCCATGGGATCCCACAATCCCTTATCAGTGACAGAGACCCGTTGTTTGTTAGCAATTTCTGGTTGGAATTATTTAAATTGCAGGGCACAAAACTGCAGATGAGCTCAGCTTACCATCCAGAAACGGATGGACAAACAGAAGTTATCAATAGATGTCTGGAAAGCTACTTGAGATGCTTTGCCTCAGATCAGCCAAAAACTTGGTCAAACTGGCTGTCTTGGGCTGAGTTTTGGTATAATACGACGTATCATGTGTCTATTGGGAAAACTCCTTTTGAAGTGGTTTACGGAAGGCACCCCCCTAGTATTCTGAGATTTTTATCTAATGAGACTAAAGTGGCAGCTGTGGCACTAGAGCTCAGTGAGAGAGATGAGGCTCTTAAGCAACTCAAAGCACACCTTCAAAGAGCTCAAGAACAGATGATGAGCTATGCCAACAAGAAGAGAAGAGATGTGAGTTTTCAGGTGGGTGAATGGGTTTTTCTGAAGTTACGACCTCACAGACAGCATTCAGTGGTTAAAAGGATAAATCAAAAATTGGCTGCACGCTTCTATGGGCCTTTCAAGATTATAGCGAAGGTTGGAGAGGTAGCCTATAGATTGCAGCTGCCTGATCAGTCTAGAATTCACCCTGTTTTTCACGTGTCGCTATTGAAGAAAGCTGTCGGAGACTATCAGGTTTTAGGAGAGCTTCCAAAAGAGTTGGAGCTCACTGATGAGAATGATGTGTATCCAGAAAAGGTTATGGGCTCTAGGTTGACTGTGAAGGGAGGAGGAACGGTGCAGCAAAGTCTCATTAAGTGGAAACACAAGACCTGGGAGGATGTGACTTGGGAGGATAATGCAGTGTTGCATGGGCAGTTTCCAGAATTCTGCCTTGAGGACAAGGCTGTTTCTATGGAGGAGGGAATTGATAGAAATGTGGATCATGTGGTGGGCTTAGACAGTGGACCCAGGTCAACAGGTTGGAAAGTTTACACGAGAAAGAAAGGGAGAGGAATAAAGAATAATGACGTGGCTGCATAATGGGCATATGAGGCTTTCTATTTAAAGGGATCAAGTCAGAGAGAATAATCAGTTTGGTATTCTGTTATTTTGTGGGGTCACTGCTATAGTGATTGGGAGCATTGAGTGCTTGAGGATTGATATTGGATTCCAATATCAATCTGTTATTTTGTCCTTATTCATTCTGTTACAAACTTGTATTGAACTCCATAATTCCATTGCAAGTTTTCTTCCTTTTCTTATATCTGTTCTACTGCTTTCTTTCTCATATTCACTGTTCCTTTCACAAAATCAACACACCAACCCATCATTTTGTCATTGGAATATGACTAGGAAGTCAGACATTCTTGATTACTCACTCTATCATAATATGCCATCTAAACATGCTCATGTTGTCAATATATAATGAACAAACATGTTTTCATTGTTCGGATAATCAAATATTTTGATATTAAGATGCTTTTGCTGTCAATCTATAATTGACAAATATATTTCAATTGGTCTTCGAAATCCAATGTTTTCATAATGACAAATTGATAAACTGCAAGCCCTTTATTTTTTATATGACTGTATGAGTATATCTCGATTCATTCTTTTACTGCAAGCACGTTTTTCAGAACTGAAACTTTGCTATCACTTTTGTCACCTATTAGCTGCAGTAGATTTCTTGCAATACATAATTGCATACAGTCAGTACTGTGGTTGATTTAATGCACAAATCTCAACTTCTACACCAGGCTTGTTACTCGCAGAAAATTACACAAAATGAAAAACTAATACATTCTTTGTTTACAATTGCAGGTGTGTCATATAAGAGTTTCCAGCTTACAATCGATCACATTTACATTGTTATATGGTTAATAGCTGCGTAACACATTGAGTATTGGCATTCCAAAACACAACCAAGAAGAGGAGAACACTACTGCAAAATAATCAAAGGTTTGATGTACTCCTTAAATAACTAAATTCATATATTTTCATACCATAATAAATTTGATACACACAAATAGGAGAAAATAGAATAGCCTAATAGCCTTATACTTCCATGTACTTATAGTATGACTTTTTCAAAGCTATAATTTTTACATAAATGCAGAAGCACTGACTCCCAGTACCTAATTCATGTCTATGCTTATATACTTTTTACATAAATGCAGAAACACCGACTCAAACAATAATTCATTTCAATACTTATCTGATAAATAGAAATTCTCAGAAAACAAACATGTATAATCCACTGATGCTTAAGAACACTAAAAAAACCTGATACATGCGTATAGTTGTGTCACAACTTCTATAAAATAAGCATTCGTATACAACTCTTCATACATGCACACAAAAAAAGAGTTCATTTCACACATGCAGATGATCTCTTCCGAACAAGCTTTTATTTTATACATGCAGAAAGAAATACAAAACATAGGCATTGTCCTCATGCATGTACAGATTTATGTGATGCATTTTTTAAAAAGAGAAACCCTCATATACATGTATATACTTATGTGATGATTTCTTGAAAAGTAGAAACTCTAACTGACAAATATTCTCCATATATGCAAAAAAAGAACTAAGTTCTTTTAAAACCTGCAGTTGACCTTCTACTTATATGATGATTTCTTCAAAGACATTAGGACACAGACACGGACACGAGATTGGGCTGTCTGAATTTCTGTTATCAAAGACATCCCAGAGATGGCTCCAAGCTTAAGCGTTACGTTTTCGTTGATAGGAAAGTAAGTATCACAAAAATCATTAAATATCATTTGTGACTGAATAAAAAATTCAGTTATTAACGAATACCTCATGATTTTTTAGGGAAATGAAATAATAGCAGTTGTTTTTGGACGAGATGTGAAGATGTTATATCAAAGACACGTGAAATAATAGCATTATATATATATATATATATATATATATATATATATATATATATATATATATATATATATATATATATTAATTTAAAGTTAGTATTTTCAATCAATAAAAAAAAGACATACATCTACCAAAATAAGATGATACAAATCATATCATAGTCGTTAAAAACCAGCCTTTAAGCCTGGCCCATCCAAAGACAAGTGAGCAACTTCAAAAAATCCAATGTCATCTAGTGATTCAAACTCATCTCCAGTAATATCCCACATTTTAGTTTCCTCTTGATGATATTGTGGAGTGTTCCTTGATAGAAGTCAAAAAACCAAAGTAACGGCGCGCAAAGGTGAAAACAATCGAAGAAACTCGTGGAGACAAAAATAGTGGAATATAAAAAAATAAAGAATCCTAATTGTGTTGTTTTTATAGTAGAGAAGTGGAATATGAAAGTTAAAAAACTCTATTTTTAAAAATAAAGAATCTTAATTGTGTTGTTTTTATATTAAAGAAGTGGAATATAAAAGTAAAGAAAAAAAACTAATTTTTTATAAATTTTAAAAATTTGAGCTGAGTTTTTTTGTTTAAAAAAAATTCTGAAATTTTTTTAATTGAGTTGTGTTTTTTATTTAAAATAAGTGTATTTGTGTCCATTGTGATTTAATTTCTTTTAGTTGGACATTTCAAAAACGTGTCTAATACGTGTCGTACGAGTGTGTGTCGGACACATGTCCGACACGGTGACACGCCGTGTGAATGGCGTATCGACGCTTCATAGATACATGCAAACTAAAAAATGGAACATTCTAATAATTATTCATACACACAGAATTTTTTTCAACTGATACATGCAAATAACAATTTGAATCGCGCAAATATGCATGTGTAACAGCATTCCTATATGATGTATTTGATGCATGCAGGAAAAACGTAAATACATTTCAATATGATATATTTGATGCATGTGGGAAAAATGGAAGAACCTACTCAGTTGATCTCTCAAATCACTACCAAAACACGAGATTGGGCTGTCTGAATTACTGTTATCAAAGACATCCCAGAGATGGCTCCAAGCTTAAGCGTTACGTTTTCGTTGATAGGAAAGTATCACAAAAATCATTAAATATCATTTGTGACGGAATAAAAAATTCAGTTATTAACGAATACCTCATGATTTTTTAGGGAAATGAAATAATAGCAGTGGTTTTTGGACGAGATGTGAAGGTGTTATATCAAATGCTGAAGTTAGAAGAACTCTTGAATCCTTTTAGGTTTTGAGAAATCAATGTGGTTCTGTCACTTAAAAAGTGTTCAATCTTCTATTTTCTAATCAATGTGAGACTTCTTCTGAAAATTCTCTCTCTTTTACATGCACTTGTATCACTGTTGAACTCAACGGAACACGTTCTACCTTTCTTCGAATCAGACTCTGATACAATTGTTAGAGGCGAAATTCGAGGGGATCAGAAGCATTTCTTATTTTGAACACACATTTGTGAGAGAAACACCACATACTCACCAAAAACCTTAGAGGCGGAATTTGAGGGGGACAATGAGGGAACATTTCTTATTTAGAACACATCTTTGTGAGAGACACACCACATACTTACTCAAAACTTTAAGGTAATTGGTGTGTGAGTTCTCTCACTTATAAAATGTTTAATCTTCCATTTTCTAATCAATGTGAGACTTCTTTTCCACACCTGATTCTCAACAAGCACAACAAACAGTAATGTTGTGCTCATTGCCTAAAAGACTCAGTATCAACACATTCAAATGTTAAGTCATTAGAGACTATATAATACAAAAATCACTAATAAATCACATTCACACTATTACTGACACATGCATCTCACTAGCTTCAAAGAATTGCTCATCCTTCACAATCAATCCATCTATAAAAGTAGTTGCCTTGATACAGGTTGTTAGAACAAGATTTTGCTTCTACATATAATCTTTAATTTTGATCATAACAATACATATAATTTTTATCTAACAATTTTGTACTCTAATGAATTTCTTAAAGTATGCAGTTGTTTAGTGAAAAATGATTTTAGATAACTCTTAAAGTATTTTAAATCAGAATCTCTTGCATGCCTCAAGAAATTTACATCGTGCTTTTCTAAAGAAATATCAGCAATTCTGATGAATGCTGAATGCATCTGAAGATGAAGAAAGATATGCGCTTCTAAGAAAAAGCTTCGCTTCCAACTATGATAAACGACTCTGATGACTCTGAATACAAGGTTCTGATTGAACGTCTTTTAAAGATTCTGAAGATAACACTTCTAAAGATTTTAAAGACACTGAAGACTTTGATATCACTTATTCCTTAATTCTCTGGTCTTACAATATAAAAATGAGTAAAAGATATTTACAAGACAAAAATGTGTAATGGAAGTATCCGTACATGTAGACATTCCTATATTGATATAAACTGATTTTCAGTCAGTACTGTTGTATGGAATTTGGTGAGACTTTGCTACTATTATCTCTCACGGGTTCAATGTTACCATTGCAACAGATGCCTTTGTTAGTTTCGCTTATACCCCTCAAGGTTCAAACATCCAACTATATAAAGAGATCACTCCTTGCAAAACAAAACAACGTTCAACACCAAAAGAAGTGAAACACACATGGTCTAATATATGTTTCTCATACACAAGAGTTGTTGCTCATATTTGTGTAATTCTTGTACTTAAACTTATGTTTCATCTGCTTTATAGAAACAACATTGTAAACATCTTGTTTATATCTTTATTGATATCATTTTCCTCAAGTGACTAAGTATTAGTCTGTAGACTTGAGAGGGTTGATGTGTTTTTCTAATCACTTAGATGAACTTAATATTAGTGAATCAGGATAAAAATACTTGTGTCTTTTTATCTTCTTTCTCTTGGTAAATTTTGTATCAAAGGTCGAAAAAATACTTTTGTAAAAATTCAATTCAAACCCTTCTTGTTGTGTTTTTCTCCACCTTCACTTGGTATCAGAGCTCCGACTCTGTTATTGATTTGTATATCAAACACTTAACCATGTAGAAATATATAGTGTGAGAAAAAACATTATGGTTGCTGCTAACACAAATGAGAGAGAAAGTTACAATGCCAAGCCTCCTGTTTTTTATGGAGAAAAGTTTGACTATTGAAAAGATAGAATATAAAGTTTATTTATGGGATATGATGCATATATCTAGGATATTGTTACAAATGATTATGAAATACCTGTACTTGCGATTGGTATTCCCATTCTCAGAAACATGATGAGCGATGATCAAAAGTGTGAGTTTAAAAATCATCACAAAGGCAGAACCATCATTCCAAATGCTATATCTTACAACGAATGTGAAAAAGTTACCAACAGAGATATATCGAAGGATATTTTTTATTCTTTGAGAATGACACACGAAGGTCATACTCAAGTCAAGGAAACAAAAGCTCTGGCATTGGTCCAAAATTATGAGGCCTTCAAGATGGAAGACGATGAAACCATTGAGATCATGTTTTCAAGATTTCAAACCCTAGTTGCAGGACTTAAGGTTCTAGACAAAGGTTACTCCACGGATGATCATGTCAAAAAGATAGTAAGAAGTCTTCCAAAGAAATGGAGACCAGTGGTTATAGCTCTTAAATTGTCCAAGGATCTGCACTTTATAAGCTTGGAAGAGTTGGTCAGCTCGCTAAGAAGTCAAAAATTAGAATTAGAGGAAGATGAGCCTCAGAAAAAGGTTAAATCTGTTGCTCTAAGGTCTAGATCAGAACGAAAAAGGTCAGAGAAGACTAAAGCCTTCCAAGCAGAGGAAGAAGAAACAAAAGATTCCGACGATGAAGATGAAATATCCCTTCTTTCTAGAAGAGTCAAACAACCCTGGAAGAAAAGATAAAGCAACTTCAGAAAATCAAGAAACAAAGGTGATCGTTCAAATTCATCTTCAAGAAGAAAAGCAAGCAGTGAGATAACATGCTATGAATGCAATGAGGAAGGACATTATAGTAATTCTAAATCAATCTTGATGAACAAGATCCAATCAACCGATTGAATTCTCTTTTTTTTCCCACTATTCACTCGAGTGAATTAATCACACCTTGATTGCAAGATGATTCTGCAGCACAACATTAATAGAGAAGAAGAAAACAAAAATGAATTAAGAAGAGAGGAAGTTAGGGATTCAAAACAAAATAGGGGAAGAAGATGAATTTTTCCAGAGTAACTCTTTGCTCTAAAGACTGGAATTTTATTCAAGTGAGTCACATTACAATAATATGGTTTACTCTCTATTTATAGAATCCTGATAGTTTTTTCCACTAAACAAAGTTCAAAATACTTAACTTTGCTAGCACTACAAAATTAAGCCTAAATCTAAAATTATGTTGAGGCTACTCCTCCAACACTTTGATAATAAAATAATTTCAAGACACTATATTATTCATAACTTTCTTATCCCCATCGAACAACCTACTTCAACATAAAAAATTATAATTTAACAAAAACCTAGAAATTTTTGTAGTATATGTAATTTCTAAGTTAACGAGATTAACTTTAGTTTATCGGTGGAACTATGAAGCTTTATTAATGTTTTTCCAATTCAAATATTTTAAAATGTTCCACTGTTTTATTAATTCATTATATTAATTTTGTAGTTATGTTTATTATTAGATAATATAAAATACACATAAACAAGAAGAACCGACGAGAGAGTTAATTGAGTTTGATGAAGATGAAGATGAAAATGTAGTGAGAATATAAACTTTTAGACAATGAATGAGGAGTTTAGTTTATTTGAGTATGACATATTAAATTTTTAGAGCATGAAGTTTAAATAGGTAAAAATATTTTCAGCTTTTGATGATTTTATAGTTTTAGAAAAATGATACGCTTTAGAATTTATACAAGTTTATTTTTAGATAATTTTGGTTTTCTATTACAAAATTTTTAGTACCTCTATAATTATACTCCCTGTTTTAAAACAATTGTCATATTTTATACTTTTACACATTAAGAAAAGTGATAAATAAATAAAAAGGCTTAATACCTTTTTGGTCCTCTATCTAATTTATACTTTTACACATTAAGAAAACCTTTTTGGTCCTCTATCTAATTTATACTTTTACACATTAAGAAAAGTGATAAATAAAAAAAGGCTTAATACCTTTTTGGTCGTTTCTGTCAAATATCTGTAACACCGTTAGAAATTAATGGCATATGATTTATTATTATTTTTATTATTTATAACTTTTTTCATTATCCATGTCATTTTATTAGTAAATTATTATTATTTTTTTAAATTCATATGAAATTAAATTTATACAAGTTTTAAAAGCTTTAGTTACTATTAGTTGGGCTTGATAATAGCAGCCCATTAGTCAAGTTTTATTGGTAGTGTGTGAATAAGTAATTTATAAACACTAATTTTTATTACTTCAATTTCGATGTGGGGCTCAAACAAAGAAAATATTATGTACATGTAGCAGCATAAAAACTCCATCAACATGCACATGACTTTGTTCCCTTCCCACACTTACAAATATTATGAACACTAGATAAATCAGATGACAGTTGGAACTTCATTATAACAGTATTTTCAACAGTTGGAACAGTTCACATTTGCATCAGTTAGAACTAGATAAGTAAGATAAAAATAAAGTACCTTGTGCTCTTTCATGTCAGCGATGACACCATTATTTCCATTTATACCAATCCATGCATTTTCTCCATTTGCATGCTATAATTTTCAAAAACACAAATTAAACAAAGATCAGGCTTCAAAGAAAGGATTGTAGAGAATATATACTAGCAAACTATTCTTACTTTTCCTTGTAGTGCAGTCATTGTCCGGATGACATTTACTCCACAATTTTGTACCAGAGTATGTGGAATAGCTTCAAAAACAATGACAGTCGCTTCATATGGCCACTGTTAGTCAACAAGAATCAAAAGTGAGAACTAGAGTAAGCTGCTGCTCAACACAAGCTAAGAACTAGAACCTGCCAAATATGAAGAAGTACCACTGGGTCACTGAAACAACATTGAAATACACTCACCTTCTTTATGCCTTCAATAGAAGAACTCTTCTGTTTCAGATCAGCTGACACGATCATCTCTGTAGCACCACCACCAGGAACAAGTTTTGGATTTTTTATTATGTTCTCATAGCATCCTGGCATGGCAAAGAGTTTCAGGAAGCCATATGATCAAATAAGTGAGCAAGACCAATACATTCCATCTTGAAGCTGCTGTTACTTGACTCATGGAGCACATGTTGGAAGGTTCATTAGATTCTTCTTCTTATATTTCATTTATTTAGTTATATTTTAATTGATTTGTGTCATGAAAAATGATCAGTATATGTCTTATCTGGATGAAGAGATTTGTTAAATATTTGTAAGCGTGGGAAGGGAACAAAGCCATGTGCATGTTGGTGGAGTTTTTATGCTGCTATATGTGCGTAATATTTGTTTTGTTTGAGTCCCACATCGAAATTGAAGTAATAAGCATTAGTGTTTATAAACTACTTATTCACACACTACCAATAAAACTTGACTAATGGGCTGTTATTATCAAGTCTAAGTAATTGTAACTCAGTTAGATAACGTAAGGGACTAATTTGAAACTTTTAAAGGACCAAAAAGGGTATTAAGCAATAAAAAAAAAGAGAACAACAATTTTATCAAATTATTTTTGTAACAACAATTTTAGGGTATTAAGCCATAAAAAAAAAGAGAACAACAATTTTATCAAATTATTTTTGTTGGTTATTGGTGTATTCAAATTATCATTAATGCAAGATAAGAGACATAATAAATTAGAAAGTATTAATTAGAAGATATACTTGAAACAATAAGATTAAAATTGCATTGGAAATTTAAAGCGACATTTATTTTGAGATAAATGTCTTTTACAATTGCGACAATTATTTTGAGACAGAGAGAGTAATAAAGAAATCATGTGCAACAAAATTACCATGTGCAATTTTCTGTTAAATATATTTTGAATGATATTAAAACTTGATAGTTTAGCGTTAATGTATATTGGAGGATATCCCTTAATTCTATCTTTGCATCTTAGCACTAGGAAGCATCAAAATGGTTTGGAAAATGTGATGGGTTATCACGAGGGAGAAAACGTTCACATTGGGTCAAACATTCACCTAAAGGTCAAAGACTCACCCAAACAAGTGTGAGAGACACCACATATTCACCCAAAACCTTAAGGTGATAGGTGTATGGGTTCTCTCACTTATAAAGTGCTCAACCTCCACTTTTCTAATTAATGCGGGTCTTAGAACTCACACATGTTTCTTTAACAACTCATATTTTTCCCAACAAAACGTTCATACATCATAAATTGAAAATAAGGTTTTTGGGAAAACACTACAACATAGGTCGACACATACGTGTTTAGGTTGACCTATAGAAGTTTGCTATTCAGTATAGGTCGACACATAGCCATGTTAGATCGACACACATGCCTCAATAATAAATCAGGTATCCGCTTTCTATGTGCTGACCAACATAGGTCGACAATATTTGAATATATGAACTAATGTAATGTAACTGAAGTTAGTTAGAATAGCAGTTAAAGGTTAGTTGAGATTTTGTTACAACTGCGTAACAGAATTAGTTAGGAAGTTAGTTATCAAGGGTTGTTATATATATACACCCTAATCATTTCCAGTTGTAACTAACTCAATCATAATGAAATAACACTTCAATCTCTCTCTCTCTCTCTCTCTCTCTCTCTCTCTCTCCTTTCACTCTGTTATTTCTTCTTCTTCTTGAATTCTCAACTTCTAACCTGGTATTCAAGAGGTTCTGATCTTTGGAGACTTTTCTTTGTGCAATGGCTACACCTTCTATCTCGCAACCATCTACAACAAATTCCGCTGCTGAAACATATAACACCCATTTTTTATTATTTAGTTAATATTGGTATTGATCCATTGGTGTGCCTTTTAACACTTGAGATTAGAATAATAATAATAATAATAAATTAAATAAAAGGTTATAATTTAGTAATAATAAAATATGAGTCTTATTATTATTACTAATAATTTAATTAGTATTAATATTAATATTATTATTATTAATATAATTTGAGCCTAACTAAAAATAATAGGAGTTAATTAAAAAGGGGATTAAGAAAATTAGGAAAAGTTTAACACGGTTAACAGAAAAAGGAGAAAAGTTCAGGGAATAACAAGGGAGTGCTAGGGCGATCATTTTCATCAATTTTCGCAGGATTGAATCAAGGAAATTCGAGGTAAGGGGGAGAAACTGGGTTTAAATTGGTGTTTAAACATGATTTGGGTAGTGGGGAGTCCTTAACCCCGTAGAAATTATATGCATGATTCGTAATGTTTCTGATCTGTGATGTATGTGTATGCTGGTAATGAATTCGTATTGATTCATGACCGTTTTGGTGTATTTTCAGTGTTGAATGTTGTTGTACGAAACTTGTTGCAGGTGGATGATTTGGGTGCAGAATTGTGTGAACGATTTGTAGTCTTAATCTGTAAAATACTATATTAACGTTAGAATCAAGAGAACAGATGGAAATAGGACCTAAAAGCAATGTAGAAAGAATTATAGGTTTGTCTAGAAGTGGATGAATGAGTGATTCGTAGCAGGTTGCAAATTTGGTGGAATTCTGGCCATTCGCGTAATGGATCTGGCCATACGCGTAAGGGGTTAGGTCATATGCGTATGATGGTGAGGGAATTAGGCCAATACGCGTAAGGGTTAGGCGTTACACGTATGGATGGGCAGGTATTGCGCGCGTTACGCGTATGAGATGGGTCAGGACGCGTATGGACTAGTTGTACGCGTAACCAGATCTGAAAAAGTGGAAAAGTTAGTTTATGTTCGTACGCGTACGGGAGATGGTTACGCGTATGAGGGCGCCAGGACCAAGGCATACGCGTATCATTGTTAGGCAATACGCGTATGGATGGCGTGGGAGTTGATTCATACGCGTATGACTCAGGTCAATACGCATATGGGCAGTCTGAATGTGGAATTTTACCGTTTTCGCGATTCTTTCCCCGTTTCGCATCGGATTCGATTTCTATTTGATCGATAAGTTAAGGGAAGGTACCAATGGCTGAGAAATAATATTTAGTAATGAATACATTAATTTTAATCGACTTAATTAAATTAATTAATTAATTAAGTAAGAATGCTCGAAGTGTACTTAATACAACTGTGTGTGGTTATGTGTTGTATGATGTGTTTAATGTGATCAGGAGGATCGTGACATGTACCTTGTTGTGTGTACATGTGTGTTGTGCATGATTGAGTCTTACATTTGCATAGCATTGGTGGGATAATCGTGTCTCAGGAGGAGCGTAAGCGATTATCCGGATTCTTTGTGAATCATTTGGTGCAGGGATGATCGTGTCTCAGTAAGAGCGTAAGCGATGCATCCGGGGTTCGATTGAATGAACCAGTGAGTCGGTACCGTATGCATGTGTTGAGTTGCATTCATTATTGTTGAATGTCATTGATGATAATGGGTAGTAGGCCGTGTTTTGGGGTGTACTTGATGATGTGTTTTTAAATACTACTTTATGTCATGTATTTTATCACCGTTAATATTTGAACTTGTTTTCTCACCCCTTTGTTGTTGTTGTTGTTGTTGCGTATGTGCTTCCCTGGAAGTACAGATAATCCAGGTACATAGATGGCTTGGATTTCGGTGTTGTTGTTCGAGTCTTTAGGATGCTCTGATACGTAACACGGGATTTTGGGAGTTTTTCCTTATTTTGTTCTAGAGTTGTTTCATTTTCCTGGTTACGTATTTTGTTTTGTTGATTAACCTGAATTTGGAGATAATAAGGAAAAACTCAGAAAAAGGTTAAATCTGTTGCTCTAAGGTCTAGATCAGAACGAAAAAGGTCAGAGAAGACTAAAGCCTTCCAAGCAGAGGAAGAAGAAACAAAAGATTCCGACGATGAAGATGAACTATCCCTTCTTTCTAGAAGAGTCAAACAACCCTGGAAGAAAAGATAAAACAACTTCAGAAAATCAAGAAACAAAGGTGATCGTTCAAATTCATCTTCAAGAAGAAAAGCAAGCAGTGAGATAACATGCTATGAATGCAATGAGGAAGGACACTATAGTAATTCTAAATCAATCTTGATGAACAAGATCCAATCAACCGATTGAATTCTCTTTTTTTTCACTATTCACTCGAGTGAATTAATCACACCTTGATTGCAAGATGATTCTGCAGCACAACATTAATAGAGAAGAAGAATTTTGATCATAGAGTAACAAAATTTCAATTGAAATAAATTGACACTATGAATTTGGCAGTCCCCGGCAACGGTGCCAAAAACTTGATCGGATAAATAGCAAATGTACTATTTTTACCGATGTAGTAATAAATGGGGTTTTCCCCAAAGTCGATCTCTTGAGGACTGCTCAGAATATGTAGTGTAGATGTTATTTCAATCAAACAAAAGTTCCTTTAGGGGGTTTGATTTTGAAAATAATTATAATAACAGTAAATGAAATAAGCAGAATAATAAAAATGACCTTAACAAATATGAGAACATGCTAGGGAAGGTGTATAAATTGCTTAGTAAGAACCCTGAATTATCCTAAAAGAGACATGCCTCAAAACCTTAATTTTACTGACCCTCAAATATTTTTCTTAAATTCCTTTAAATGAAAAACCTTTGATATTCTCCCTTTAACCCTAATTCCTTAGCAATCAAGAAAGAACATCAAGCAATAGTCTGACAAAGTTTATAGTCACTACGATATATCCCAATTCCTAGATGTTGTGGTGAAAATTGGATAAACAAGTATTTTACTACCTAACTTGTATCTTTCTCGTTTGCAACCGAATTCGATTTATCTAAAAAGAAAGGCTCGATATCGTTCTAAGGCCTTTGGGGAGATTACAGGTTCGGGGGTTGGTTACGAAGAGGGAAGGTATTAGCACCCTCTACGTCTATGGTATTCCATAGGATCCACATAGTTTTACTCTTAATTTCATTCATTTATGTCTTCTTGTTATTTATCATGATTTGTATTGATTTGTTATGTTGCAAAAGAAAAGAAAGAGAAACCCTAGGGGTTAGTCTCTATGGGTACTCGACAAAGCATCGCACCTTGGCCTACGTATCCACGGGAATAGCATCAGAGTACACGTAGTTCTA